GAAAGAGTCTTCAAAAACATCTCAGGTAAACTTTTCTAAACATTTAAATCTTCAAGTTTGAATACAAAAAAATAATGATTGAAATTAAATATCTGCATTAAACTTTTTTAGATACGAGAAGAGAGCAGACTACCAGGAACTGCTGAGCTAGCTCTCATGTTCTTGGAACCAACATTCAAGCCTCTCAACATACACAAGCCTAAAGCAGTACATCATGCTCGTTTTATGGCAAAGAGTATCTACTATCTAAAGATAATGCTTGTTCTAAATTCGACCAAGCAAATCCTAAAATTGAGCCAGGAGTAAATTAAAAAGGTAAAAAAGATGGCAATTTTCATTTCAATTTTCTATGCTCCTCAATTTCTGAGAGCTGAAAAATCAGATACAGCTGCAATCCAAGTTAGTTTTTTAGCCTTTGATACAAATAATCATAGTTAAATTTTAGCATTAATATTTGAAAAATTAGTGTACCCAAATTGTATTGAAATTTTAACATTGCAAGACCAGCACTTTATCTGGCACATGGCCCACTTGGAGAAGTTTGATGTAGCTGCAGCTTCAGTCTCCAAAAAGTGGAGAAAACACAGCTGGTACTTGATCCCACAACTGTTATTTTTGCCCTAGCCAACTCAGATCAGTCTGTGTCTGACATTACAAAGGAAGGAATGGCTAGAAAGCGAGTACAGTATCCTCGAACAAACGAGTATGATTTTGAAAGAAAGAGCAATTCCGGTTTTACTCCACAAAAGACAGTGTTTCTCAAACTCACCGAACCACCTTGTTGTATATCAAACCAAAATGTTTGATATACTTGAACACACTGAAAGACATGTTAAGTGGCTTTTTTATCCTTCGTCTACATGAAATATAGATCCAGATTTCATTGCTTTTCAACTATTTGTTAAAAGTTGGCAGTTGTTAATGATGCAGCAGGGAGAGCCATAAAAGCAATTCAGGAGGTTGTTTCACAGACATATGACGAGAAGAAACTGCAGAAAATTTTAATAGTCAAGAATAAAATAAAAAAACCAATTTCACACACTAAAGCAGCATATAAAGAGGCAGCCCAACAGCTAACACCTACTGAAAAGCTAAGCCTTGTGTACAAATATGAATGTCTTGAGGAAACGGAGGACAAGTTATCACTATCTAGTACTAGTGATTTTGACAGTAGCTCGGATATTGTTGATGAAAATGATGATGAAAATTTTTTTTAGATGTTTTTATATTTATACAGTTTCAACTTAAATTAAAAAAATAAATTAATAGTTCCCCCCCCCCCCCGTCCATACTCTCACGGTTTCCGAAATCAAGTTGTAGCAAGGTGATCCCATAAAGCTAGGGTGCCAATTTTTTTCAAGCATTATCTAGACATAGTAAGCTAACAAATAAATTGTATACATGTTTGTATGTATCTTAGATCTCTAGAAAATTTCAATCTTGTAAAAAGTTACAAATTTTGAAAAACTTTGGTTGGGTGTAGCAAGGTGAAATTTTTTTTTCTTCAAAAAATCAAAATATTATCTTAAAATCACTCAAGGTTACACATCTTTTTAGCTTGCAAACATGTTTCAAAAAAAAAATTTGTAAAATTTGAACACCCTTAATATATATATATATATATATATATATATATATATATATATATATATATATATATATATATATATATATATATATATATATATACATATATATTATATATATATATAATATAAGTGTTAAAATTTATCTGATAAATATATTTCACTCATCTTAGTTTAAATAGTTTTTCTTTTGTTATCTGGAACTTTTACTCACTTTATGCACTGAGCAAACAAATGTAAACTTGAAACTAATATTAAAAATAAAAAAACTATAAATTGGAATGAAAAATAAAAGCTAAAAAAAAAAAAAAAAAAGTAAACTAAATTAAAAAAATAAAAATCTTAACAAATGATAAAATAAATAAAAAATAAATCAGAAAAAATAAAAGCATAAAATAATGTTTTTATTTTAGTTTAAGCATTTCACTACAAAGACTTTAGAAAAAATCTAAGTTTCAAAATTATTTTTTTTTTATTTAATTCAAGTTTAAAAGGATTCCAAACTGCTGAGTTGTGTTCATATTAAAGAGAATGATTAAAAAAAAATATTTGGGCTGAATTTTTTTGATTAAGACAAAATAATAAATGCATACCAAGAAGAACTAACTTTTTTGTTTTTTTTCAAAGCTTGTCTTCTCCGTTTTGTAGAAGGCCAAATAATCTTCATTATATAAATCTTAATCTACAGACTTGATAATTTATTCACGTTTTTATTTAAGCACATTTAATTCCTAAGAGTTTTAGTACATGACGTCATTGATTTTTTCAATAACGTCATTTACTAAAAATCAAAGACGCCATGTACTAAAAATCAATAATGTTATGTACTAAAACTTTTAAAAATAAAATGCCATGGAATAAATTATCAAGTCTGTAGATTGTGTTGTATATTATAAAGACTATTTGACCTTCCAGAGTTTTTAGTCCTTGGCCTTGCCTTAAGGTCAAAAATTAGGTCCTTGACCTTGGCCTTACAACTCTTGGCCTTGGTCTTGAAATTTTTTGGCCTTGAATTTTTTTTTGTAACTTTCTGTTTATTTTAGCAAGTTCATTTTTTGAATTGAGAACAATAGAATTGTTTAAAAGTAATTACATGCTGTAATTCATTAACGTTTAACATTATATAATATTATTTAGTTACTTACTGTAAGTTAGTTAAAAAAAAATCAATGAAAACGTCTTGTGACATTTTGAAGACAATAGAATTAGGTTTTGATTGATTTAAAATTTTCATTCAGAACTTATATTTAATGCTAAAAAATAATACTAACATCTTATATTTTTAAATTTTTACATATTTTTGTTTTTGGTTTTACTATAAATCTATTTTCTAATATATTTTCTTATAACCAATATACACGCATAACCTTGATTTAATTTTGAAACATGCGGATTTGTTGTTTGCAGCTCAAAATTTAAGTCTTACCCCATGAAATACTTGGATGTGTCCTTTACCTTGTCCTTGGCTTTGAAATTCTTGTCCTTGGCCTTGGAACTTGTGGTCTTGGCCTTGGATCATGTGGTCTTGGCCTTGGATCATGTGGCCTTGTCCTTGGAACATGTTACCTTGTCCTTGGAACATGTGGCCTTGGCCTTGACCTTGGCCTTGGAAAATGTGGCCTTGGTCTTGCTATATTAGGCCTTGTTAACAACTCTGTGGCCTTCTACAAAATGAAGAAGACAAACTTTGACTAAAACAAAAAGTCAAAGTTTTTTGTGGTATGAATTTTGTTTGTTTTTTCGTTTTAATCAAAAAAACTCAAAAATAAAAAATATACTAGTTTTGCTTTTTTCTCTTTTATTTATTTTTTCTTTCGTTAAGTTAGTTTCTCTTTTCATGTTTATTGTTTGTTTATTAGTTTGGTTTTTCCACTCATTTTTTATAAAATGCAAACCGTATACCCCTCCTAAGAAGGCTTGATATATATACACACACTTTTGGGCAAAAGACTCCACACCCTTCAATATTTATAGGAAAAAACTGTTTTTGTACTGCATAGTGTATTTCAAATCAAACGCAGACACAAACATAAAAGAATAAAGTAGTTGCAGTATAAAACATATGTTATTAATTTGTATGTAACATATAAATGTATAAAACATATATTATTAATTTGATTTCTTGAACTTTTAGAATAACCTATTTTTGCGGCATTGAGTCAACAAGAGACTCACAATATTCTGGTGTTATTCTGGTATTTTATTACACCAGACTTTGATTATGGATTTTCTCAGATCTACTAGTGAGATTGTGATCAATTTAGAAACTTCTGCTTTTAATTTTACATAATATATTTTGAGGAGGTAAATTGCCCAACACAATGTAAAAACATTAATTGCAGTTTTTTAGAGTCATGTCTTGACAATTTTTTACTAATGACAAGCTGCCCAAATGTGCATTTAAAACACCAAATTTTTTAATTCAAAAACAATTAGACATACTATTCTTCAAATTTCCAAATAATTCACTGTCTCATTTTGTTACAAATCTCGCCTCGTTGTAAAAGGTGTAAAGCAGCAAAACTGTTAGCAGTGATTGCACCCCAAATCAGAATTACTGGACATCGCTTAACAGAAGATGCAATGTATTAAGGTTTGAAGCATGAGTTTGGTGGTTAGCAACAATTGACTTTGTGTGCTACAAACTGCTTAACTTGCATTTGCTCTGAGAACATTACATGTCACCAAATTTTAACAATTCAAATCCTTGTAACCTTTGCAAAACTTAAGGCAATCACAAATATTTTCTTAAGAAATTGGTATTTTAATTTCAATTTTAAAACTTTAATGCAGTGTGCAGTATAATTTTAGAAAGATTAACATTGTTGGCAAGGCATCTTTGAACTGTGTGTGTATATATATATATATATATATATATATATATATATATATATATATATATATATATATATATATATATATATATATATATATATATATATACATTTTTATAAATAATATTCAACATAATATTTAATTTTGTCTTTAAATTAAATTTAAAAGTAATAATTACATAAAATTGCAAGAAAAGAAACCTTTTTCAATGCTTCACAACAGGACTATGTAAAAACCTCAAAAATTGTTTATATAACCCTTACAACTTTAAAACAATGATATGATAAAATAATTTTTTTAATAACTTTTTTGCTTAAAAGCATGTTTAAATAGTTAAAAAAATAATTTATTGAGGTTAGTAAATGTATAATAATAACAATAATAATAATAATAATAATAATAATAATAATAATAATAATAATAATAATAATAATAATAATAAAAATGTTTATAACTTTTATACCTTGGACAACTTTTGCAAGTTGTTATAATAACCACATTAACTTAAAAATGTATAATATAGAAAAATAAAAATCTCAACTATTTTATAAATAAAAAAATATGAGAAAAACAACTTACATAAGCTGAGGGCTCCTCAATGTTTTTACTATTCATATTTTTAGGAACTACCTTTGTCCCATCAGCTCCTACTGCAAATGGTTGAGGAAGCTGTCCACTAAACTCAGACTTAATAAACAGATAATTCCAGCTAAAAATATTTTTTTATTTGCTTTTTCATTTTGAATGTTACAAAAAGTAAAATTAACTAAAAATAATATCAATTAAAAGTATACAGGTAAATAAATTAAAATTAAAATTAACTACAAATACAGTCATCATCAACCTTAATTAAAATATGTTTATCTAGAACAGATCATCTCTATTAAATTGTTATATAAGATACTTATCTAACAAGTACAAATATATTCTAAAATATCTTGATTAAATTGTTATATAATACTTGTCTAGTTATTATAAATACTTGTCTAGTACCAATATATCTTGAAATATTATATATCATATAGCTGATAATTATCAATATCCTTATAAAAGTAATAACAAATTATAAAACATACTTGTTTGGTAAAAAAAAGCTGCTTGGATATCTGTACCATTCTCTTCCAACACAAACATTAATCTTCTGGTCTTCGCGAATCATTGGTTTTACACTTGGGTCAAAAGGATTTACAAGGTTATGAAATTCCGGATACAAATCTAATGGCGCCCTGTAACCTTAATAAAAAGGAATGCTTAGAAACACCACAAATTTTTTAAAATATTTAAACTATTGATTTTGTAGAATACTATATACCTACAAAAAGAGCAACAACTCTAGATACTGATAGTAATCCAAAGATAATAACTACTGCAGCAACAATCCAATTTGATGAACTAGCATAATGCTGCCGTTTGCTTCTTGTAAAGATTGAATGATATAACTCCTGGAAAAATTTTTTTAACAATTAATTCTAATGTAAACTGGAAATTAGATTGGAATACACCCCTTATTTATTAGTCTTCAGTTAAACTAATACTTGGTGTAGTTAAAATACTTTGTAATAATAGATAATATTATTACAACTGCAAAATACTTTACTGGCAATGACATAATACCATTGAACAGTCTGGTCTTTAAATTATAAAAGAAGTTAAAAGTTTTTGAAGGAACTATTTCTACATGAGAAATAATACCATCAAACAGTCTGGTCTCTAAATGATGATAGAAGTTAAAAGTTTTTGAAGGAACTATTTCTAAATGAGAAATAATTATAAATATTTTATTTTTCAGATTTTGTTTTAATAAACAAAATCATTAGCAAATTCTCTATTTTTTTGTTTATAGAATATTTTACATAACATAATATAAAAATGTTTCTGAGCTGAAAAACCCAGACCAGATAATATAGGCTCTTTCTTAAAAAGTATCCATAAACTTTGAATAAAATTCGAAGGAAATGTTTGAAACTTGTTGTTTAAACTTTGACAAGTTTATTAAGTTAATTGCTAGAGAATAGATCAGAACAAGGATCTTAAGTGGATTAAGACATTTTACAAAAAAATAAAAAAAGATTAAAAAAATAAAAAAAATATCTAGTTAACACTAATGAGCAATATCAATCTAAAGAATACCAAATGTTTTCATGTTTGCATTTAAAAATAATAATTAAAAAAAAATGTGTTCTTTAGATTTTGTATTAGTGGTAGTAAAGTCTATTTAAAATTTATTTAAAATAAAGAAAAGTTTCTTTAAAAGTTAGTAAATCCTGTCAAGTTTAAAGCTATTGTTTGGATATAATATGCTGATAAATAATGTGAACTTCTAATTTTAGAATTCAAATAACTTGTAAATCAACTTAACAGAGTAAAAGCTTTATAAAACTTTTATAAAACAAATAATACACTAATCTGCATGGTATCAGTTGTTTAAAAAATGTTGTTATTTACCAAATATTAACTTATAAAGGATAACATTTGGTATATTTATCCTTAAAATGTTAGGTTTCACACATCCAATGTAGCATTGGTTTTAGCATTAAATAGTGTTATATTCTTAATAAGGAATCAACAACTTACATTGGTTTCAGTTTATACAATTAAACATGTATGACCATTTAACTATCATCTTTTTCTTTTAATATCTTTTTCTACATAATTTTTTTTTTTTTTTTAATTTTAACAAATTGTGAAAAAAACATAGTAATAGCAGATTAGCTAATTAATGCAAATTATTTGAATAAAAATGTTACTTATTTGTTGTGTTGGCGGAGCCTAGATTTGTTTCAGGCTTTTTGGTTATGGTAACACTGAGCAACTAAGCTATCCCTACTTATTCTGCTCATTAGTTGTGTTAAGGTTTTAAACAATTTTGATGATTTTGTGAGAGACTTCGATAAGATAATAAAGTCTGTAAAACTCCTTGGCTCTTGGTTGTGCAAATAATTTTTCTCATAGTACTGGCACAGACATCATGAAAAGGTGTTTGTTGAACTTTACATGACTGATTCTGTAGAGCACTGCAAAAACATAAAAGATCTAGCCAAACTATTGGGAACAGTCAATAACATTTTATTTGGTGAATTTTAAAGTCTTTGACTCTGATTTTATTGAGCAATTCACTTAACTATAATTTAAAGAGAGTGTTACTACATAATTAAAATAAATTTTCTTTTTTTTAGTAACAAACTCTTTTTGAATAAAATAATATAAAAGTCCTCCTCAGTCTTAATAATAATGAACATTTTTTTATAACCTGAAGGTTATTACAATACTACTTGAACTGAAAGGTGGTTAAAATAACTAACTATACTTCTTCAATAACTACCTATACTTCTTCTTCTACTTCTTCTGTCAACAAACACATTTAATACTTACAGAAAATATTTGATTACCTTCTCCAGATATGAAATAAAATAAAGAGTTATTTTGTGTTAATCAAGAAGTTTTTTTTTATGCATTTGCAAGAAAAGTTTCTCAAAGTCAGGGAGGAAAAGATTTATCTTTGCTGATGTATTGATTGGTCTCTAAATCAGAGAAGACACACTTTACTTTGCAAATGACTAGATATGAATTAGAGATACATGTCTTGAATTGTTTGAAACCTGTGATATACTACTTGCTAGGTTGCTGGAGCATAAATATGATAGCATCACTACTGTTGGAGCCTATGCAATGAGAGAGCAACTACCTTCAGCTGCAGAACTCACTAAGAAACCTAGAAAAAGACAATAAAACCTAAACTCTGTATAGCAGAATAAGACTAAAAACACAAACTGTTTAAAAACTTGTGCTATGTAAAAATTAGTTACAGATTCCAAATATTATAGTAGGAATAAAAAAAAAAAAAAAAAAAAAAAAACTAGTAAAAGAAAGATATTAAAGTGCAATTAAAAATTATATAGAGAATAAAAGTTGATAAGGATAGATGCTATAGTGGTGAATACTACAATGTACTATAGTCTATATCCAGAGATACTATAATGGTCAATACATGGCACATTATGATCTGTATCCAGAAGTACCATACCATGAAAAAAAATTGCTCATTAAAATTTTTTTTTATCAGATATTATATTCTTAAATGAAATAATATTTCATTCTATAACCGCTTGGGGTTAAGCTATGTGCCTATCTTGGAATGTAAAAAGAGACAGCAACAAAAACATAAGCAACTCATTATATCACTATTATTTTCTTATTCTACATCAAACTGTTTAGTCAGTATAGAAACAGAGAACAGATATTGATGTTAGATCAGAGATGTTAGACATTAAATCAAAGATTTAATGTCTAACATCTCTGATCTAATTTAATAAAAGTTAAAATAACAATAATGACTCATTAAGAAAAATATTTTTACCTGAATTTTAGATAATGCTATACATGCACTGGCAATGATTAAAGGATAAATAGGAAACATAAACCGTTCCTCCTAAAAAAGAATAAAAGTGTACTTGATACTTTGTCACAAAACAAAAAAGCTTTTTCTTTTAATTTTAACAGTAGTGGTCACAATTCCGAATATGCAGAGATAATATGAATTAAAACTTAACTAAATAAAAATCAATAAAAAGTACAACAACAATGTACCTTATGAGGTTGAGTAAAAAATACTAAAGACCAAAGATATATAGGTGACAATACCAACCAAAATGGTAACAAAAGCACATCTAAAAAGACAAAAAACAACTAAAATTAGGCGGTGATATGAAATATGTATAATATATGTGTGTATGTATATACATATGCATAAATATATATATAAGCTTCAGCTGAAGTAAATGAGAGTACAAGCTTTGAAAAGACTGTCTAAAATGGACTTGGCAGGCTATGTGGGCCACCTGATTAAATAGTCTAGTGTGGACTTTTTTGAAAAAAAGTCCACACAAGACCTCAATATCGATACTTAAACGGATATTTGTTTTTTTAACAATAAAAAAGCAGAAAAACAGGCTTGTACTTCAAAAAAATTTCTTTATTTTATCATAACGCTTGCTTTTTTTTTTTAATTTTTATTATTATTTTTTTTGTATTTATTTAACAATTTAGTAATTTAATTAAATAAATAATATTACAAAAACTATTATAAAAGATCATTTTTTTTTTGAATAAAAATGTCACAAAATATAAAAAATTTGACAATGCAGTTCTGTGATAAGAAAGAACATAGTATATAAAGTACATGTATTTTATATTATACGTAATATAAAAAACAGAACATAGTATCTGCAAAATAATCATTTTGCACAATTTGCAATATAGAAAACATTCTTATAAACATTCCTGCAGATACTGTGAAATTAAAACATCTGAAACAGACACTTAGAGATCACATATGGTGTTCTTACTTAAATACCAGATCAAGAAAATAATAATGAATAGTATTATCCCAAAAAAAAAATCTTGAAAATTGAGTTACTGTGTTCTTTCTTATCTTAGCAGTATAATAGTACGTCGGAGAGTGACAAACCATTTAAAAAGACTTACATAATTAAACCTTGGATAAATGCATTTGATACTTGTAAAGGTAAATGATAGCTTTTTAAAGTTACAACTTTTCACTTTGTGTGTTTTTGTTTTGATTTGTTTCTGTTGTACTGTTTGATTACATTTTTTTTATTTTTTACATCAAAATATCACATAATAGTCAAGTAATAATTTAGATCTTCCTATATTTATGAACGGTAATGTAATCGATGTGTCATCTATCCTTCATCTTCTAAGATTAACTTTTACTTCCTACCTTTTTTGGAAACCATATATAAAATCCATTGATATATGGTTTAGATGCTAATTTTAATATATCCATATATCAAAATTAGCATCTGCTAACGTTGGAACTCTTTATCATGCTCGACATTTATACTCCGGATTCTATTCTTTGTCTTTATCTCAAATCCATCTTTGTATGGAATACCGTTGCCATATCTGGAGCGAATCTTCCAATGATGCCCTTTCTCTTTTAGAAAAGGCACAAAAAGGCATTGTAAACATAGTTAGACCTGCTCTTGCAGCTAACCTCCAACCATTATCACATTGTTGTAATGTTGCTTCTATTTCTTTTTTCTACTAATACTATAATGGGCATTGCTCTAAAGAGCTAGTTTCTTTTGTGCTATCTACTAAAATTCATTCTTGTGATACTTGTCATTCAATTGAGTCTCATCCTTTTACTGTGACTATTCCAAAGTGCTCCAAACACTCTTATTATTCTAGTTTTTACCATGATCATCAGTTCTTTGGAATTCGCTTCCTTCATCTTGCTTTCCTGATTCATATAATTTGCAATCTTTTAAGTTGTCTGTCAATTGTAATCTTGCTCTGCAATCTTCATCTTTTCTCTTCCAGTAACTTCCAACTCTAATAAGTGGTTGCTTGCAATTTTGTTGGAACCAAAGATGTTTAAAAAAATTAGTTGTATATATGGTTTCCATGAAAAGTCATCAGTGAACAATAATCCAAAGACATAAAGAAAAAGATTCAGTAAGAGGGTTGCTATTCATTAATATAGGAATGTCAACAGTTCTGCGATAGTTGTTTGTAGTAAATAACTGAGTTTTGATAATTATTTATTGGATTTTGCTTCTTTTATCTTGTTTTCCTAATTCATATAACTTACAATCTTTTAAGTCGTCTGTAAATTGTTATCTTATTCTATAAATTTAGTAACTTTTAACTCTAAAAGTGTTTGCTTGCAGCCTTGTTGGAAGCGAAGATGTTAAAAAAAAAAAAAGCACTTGCTAAGTTTAATTTTTTCATTTTTTAATTTGAAAAAGAAACAGTTTTAAACTTGAAGTTTGCCATCCATGTATAGGATAATATATATATATATATATATATATATATATATATATATATATATATATATATATATATATATATATATATATATATATATATATATATATATATAAATATATATATATATATATATATATATATATATATATATATATATATATATATATATATATATATAAATATATATATATATACATATATATTATGTAGCCACTAAGCTGAGGTGTAGGCTTAAAAAATTAAAAGGTAAAAAATTACATAAGGGGTTGTTCATATAGTATGTACGCTTTTACCGCCCCTCCCCCACCCCCATACAATTTTCCATACGCTTTTTCAAGCATACCTACCGAATATTTTATGATATTTTTTTTCATTTTAGTCTCTCCTTACTTTTTTAATTGACCCCCTGCCCTGATCTCATATACACCATTTGCAGACCCTCTCTTCTCGTTTGAGCATACGACGTACGATGATCACTGAGTATAAATCTTGTTCCGGCTGGATTTTTATTAATAATTCTGACAAATCCGGTTGCTGCCAGAACTCAAAATTTCTGGCACCGTACACCCTTAATATACACAAATAATTTTAAAAGTATTCTAAAAAATAGAGTGCTCAAATTTTTTAAAAGAAACAGAGCAATAATGAATTAGTAGAAAGTCACTTATCAAACTTTCCTTGTGAAATATACCCTATGGAATATGTAAATTAATGGAACATGTTAAAAAAAGTACCACCATATTGTTTTATAATTTTAATTTAAAATTATGATTAGAAAACTTATAAACAAATTAACCAAAAATTTAATATTTGAAATAGATTGAATGAATTAAAATACAATTAAAATTTAGTTTGAATTTAACTACTGTTTTAGATTCATGAAAAGGTATGTTATTATTTTTTTTGTTTTGTTTAAGAATAACAAAACTTAGTAACTAATACTCTAAAAGTTTGTAATAATGCAAAGTGTTAATTGGTCAATTTAAAAAAAAAGTTAGTCAGATTTCATTGGTCGATTAAAAAAAAAACTTTAATTGTTAGATTTTAGATACATAACTTTATACTTTTTGAAAATATTATGGTAAACTTTTACAGCAGCAATATAAAAAATGGTAATGTATAATGCAGGATTACATTTGAAATCACGACAAGGATTCAAAAGAAAGCCTTAAAAAAGTTGCAGGATTACATTTAAAGCCACTACAAAGATTCAAAAGAAAGTCTTTAAAAATACAGTTACATTTGAAGCCACTACAAGGATTCAAAAAAAAGCCATAAAAAAGTTGCAGGATTACATTTGAAGCCACTACAAGAATTAAAAAGAAAGCCTCAAAACATGTGGTATAAAAATACTGTATGATAAAAAATTTTATTGTATTTGTTTAGAAATTATAGAAATAATTTACAATAAAAAATGCCCCATATAATACTGCTAGTTATAATTCTAATTAAGTTATAATTATTATAAATATATTGTAATTATTATAATTTATTATTATAATTAATATAAACTATTATAATTCTTTTTAAACAACATTTTAATAATTCTGATTCTCATAAAATCAATAAAAAATTGGAACAAACCTTTAGGCGTATTCCTAAGCCAGTCAACCAACAGCTAGCAAAAAAGAAAATCACAAATGTAAATTATGAAAAAATAATATAAAAAAATTTAATGTAAGCTTGATGATATGACTCAAAAAAACAAGGGGGAAAAGAAATTAAAATCTTTTATATCTCTGCGCACTGCAGAGATATAAAAGATTTTAATTTAACTGTGATACAATGTAATTCTCAGTTGTTTTTTCAGTATAAGCTAATTTCAAGAAAGCTAATATCAAATAGAAAAAATTAAGCAAAATTACATGAACTTTTGGCATGATGTTTCTAATCTAAAATAATGACTTTTAAAAATTTTCCTCAACCATAAATTTTTAGTTTAAAGAAACGCTTAGAAAAAATTCTTGTTTTCCAAACTTCATTACAACAACCACCCAAAACATTCAACCAAAACTTTTACTCAAAACTTTTGGCAAAATTATTCAAGTTTAAAATGTGTTAATTAAACTTTAAATGATGATACATAAAAATATTAAAAATTAAAACTATTAGGGCTGAATTAATCAAATTCCACTATGAAACCAATAACTGAAAAGCACAAAGAAAATTCTTGATAAATTGTACTTTAAATTATTCAGTTGAAAGTACAATAGTGACTTATTCTATATAGGAACTAAAGGGAAACTTCCATGACAATCATATAGGACAAATCAAACAGTCAAAAATTGTCTGTAGTAACTAAACAAACTTTGAAAGATAAAGAAGACTTTGAACTTTCACTTAATATTGAACGATAAGGTAAAATAAATTTTAAAACTTTTAAAAATTTATTTGTCTACCTAAAGTATTACTTTCTTGCAAAGTAAATGTTGGCTTAACAAGAGGGGTAAGGGTTTAGAAAGTTCACTTTCTTCCTAAATTAGTATTTAGTAAGAAAGTATTTTATATCATACCCAATTTATACATTAATAATACCCATGCAAAAAAAAGAAGGAGAATCTTATCAACCCCGAAAACCTTTTTTTTTTTTGACACAGAATTAAGCTTACATTATAATACGAATTAGGCTTACATTCTTTGTAAACAATTGTAAACAAACAAATAATTGTAAACAAAACAAAACAAAAAAGAACAACAAAAAACAAACAAGTACTTGTATGCATTGAACTTAAAAAAAGATAAAGCTAAACTCACACAGACTGGTAATGAAACAACAGCAATAGGAAACACAATATTAAAATTCAAGAAGCAGTTGATAAAATAAAATGTCCAGGATTCTTCTCCTAACACAAAAAAAGTAAAGATTTGTAAAAATTTTACAAAAAAATTATTTTAAAAATATTTTTAGGCTTACATTTTATGCTATAAAATTAAACATGTTATAAATTTTGCACGCATAAAAAATAGGATTTTTTTGTATGCAAAATTTGTAACAACAATTTACACAATTATTGCAAATAAAAGTTTTCATAATATATTAGTATATAAATATAGTACAAAAAAAAAAAAAAAAAAAAAAAAAAAAAAAAAAAAAAAAAAAAAAAAGAAAAGAATGATAAATTAAAAAAAACTATATAAAAATAAAATTTTGATAAAAAAAGAAAAAACAATTTGCGCAGGGCTATGGAGTAGCTCTGAAGCTGTAGCCCAAGCTATCCGCAGCTGGTGATTTTACAAGTAGCTGAGCCAGAGTAGAAGCTAAAATATTTCCTGCTGGAGCTAGCTCTGGAGTGAGCTCCACCCTTTGATATTTTGAAATATCAAATTTCCATTAAGTTATTGTTTTATATAATGAGAGATTTTAAAGAATTTAAACAATTATGCTCAATAAAGTATTTATAATTTCTAAATATAGCATTTTTTTATATGCTTTATAAAAAAAAAAAAAAGGCAAACTACCAATTATTATAATTATCATAACTGTTAAATAATAGATGCGCAACTTGAGGCACAAAGAAATATTTAAAATATAATTAACATATTTCAAAATTCATACTTGAGTTTATAAAATTGGTTTTGTCTATTTTCAAAAATTGTAAGCATTTTTTTTTTAATTTAATTTCTATCCAATTATTTTGTGTAATATGTCATGTGGTTTATATTGAAGAGTATGACAAGTTACTTGAAAAAAAACTTTACCTATGTCAGTTATAAATCCATGCATAGGTGTTTAATCCATCATGGTTTTCTGGAGTATGGCTGGGCTGGCTTGGTTTAGTTCAGAGACAAATCTTTTACGCTGGTTACTAACAATACAAGACTCTACTGTACAACATAAACAGCACAGACTTACACATTACACCTATACACCCTTATGCACAAACAGCCTGTTTACATCTTTTGCATGCTTTTTGTTCTTTCATAGATAAACTATCTTCGTTTGAACTCATCCTTGTTTAGATAAGATTTTATTTTAATAGATATGTTGTTGAAATGTAGATACAGATTTGCATGTTATCTATATGTGTTTATCATGTGTGATTGAATTTTTCATTTAAGGATTCATATGCATATACATATAAGCATAAGAGCGATTCTCATAAACTAGCGGCTTTTATTCTCATAAACTAGCGACTTGTTTTTATGAAGTATGTTTTTCCTTGTTATTTTGTTATGGCCTCAAAGTTACATTTAATTCGGACCGTCGAGAAAACTTTATTTTTCGGAAATTTCAATTTAGATATGGTCTCAAAGTTACTTTTCATTCAGACCGTAGAGAAAACTTCTTTTCTTAACAATTTTTTTCCCGCTTTCTACATCGTTTTTATATCACAATTTATATCATTGTTATATAACCCACAACTAATTTTTTAACCACTCATTTGGCTTAAAATTATCTGGTTTTATTACAATATTTAGTTAGTTTTATTGCTGTATTTATTAATATATTACTTATCTCTTGATTTTCATATTATTACTGTTTACAGAAACTTTCATGTTATATTATCTTGCATTCATTACTCAGCTTTGTTTTAATTTTCACATGCACAATTTTCATCTTTATTATTATTCAGAGAATATTTTTATATCCTTCATTTAATGTTTACATATGTCGCTTACATTTTTAAGGTTTTTGTGCAACGTTCTTTTTCGCTATCATATATTATTCTATTATTGTTATGATTTTGGGTTTCGCGGGTTACTCATTTTCCTACACTTTTGATTGGTTATCATATTTCGAATGAGGTATCTATGACAGCGTTAGAGTTTATTTAAGGGTATTGTTTTGTTTATTAAAAATAAAAAAAAATAAAAAAATAAATTTTTAATGAGGTATACTGCTTTCTGATTATCTTGGGCTTGTTTATGCTAATAATACCTATTTGGTTTTATTTCTTAAAATAAATTGATTAATATTTTTATGTTTCTATTAGAATTTTAATTTATTTTGTTTTCATGTTTTCTTTTGGTGGTACGGTGAGTGTTTTATTTAGTTATTTTTATTTTTGTTTGTTCAGTAAATCTATACTGTTTATATGATATCATCAAAAGAAATATTGGTGCTTTACAAATTTGGAGTTGGTTGGGTTTTGGCTATTTGTAGTGAGTCCTTTTTTACTGCAGTATGGAATAGGCGTAAGTCGCGGGGTAAAGCATAAGTGGCGATGACGTTTGTCTGACGGGATAAACTAGTTATAAATGCTGATCCTCATCGAAACGCCAGTAATAATAGACGTGACTCTGCGGAGATGTTTATTACTTATCACTACACTAATTATGTTTACACATTAGCATTAATGTTTTTTTTCCATTATTAGTCCTTTCATTGTTGTTAGCATACTTTTAATTTGTTGAATGGTTTTTTGTTTTACAAATTTTTGAGTGGTTATGTATTTCTTGTATATTTTAGTTCATATTGGTATTTGTAAAACAATTTTTTTTAATTTTTTTTTTAATTTTTTTATTTTTATATATATTTATATATATTTTTTTATTATTTGTTTTTATTTTTTTTAATTTTTTTTATTGTTATTATGGTTGAGTACTGTTTTGGTTGTATAGCTTGTCTTATTTATTTTTAAATATTCCTCTATTAATCTTTATTTTTGTCTTGACAACTGTCAAAATATGCTTTGTCTAATAAACAATTCTCCTTTATTCTAATGTACTTCATTTCTTCCCTCAGGCGTTCACTGCTCGTGTGTGACCATTCGGCGAATTTTATATGCCAAAGTTTTTAAATAACTATTTTGTGTAATATGTCATGTGGTTCATATTGAAGAGTATGACAAGTTACTTTAAAACAATACTTCTAAACAATGTCAATGATTGGTTTACGAAAAAAAACTTTATCTATTTGTTAAGTCATATGATTTGTTTTAGCATTTTTAATTAGTTGAAACAATTTTAAAATAGATTAAAACAGTTCTAAATTAAATTAGGAAAAGATTTAAATTTTTTTTCAAACAATCAAGGGGTTTGTTGATAAGATTACAGAAAAACAATCTTTTTTATCAAACAATTTTTTTCAAACAATCATAAGGGGTTTCTAGATAAGATTACAGAAAAGATAAACGATAAAGTGATTTCATGTGGCATGCAAATAAAAAAATTAAAAGTTCACAATATGAAATGGCATTTGAAAAGATCATATCTATCAGAATATAAAATTGTTGAACCCGAAATGAGCCTTATGGCCAAAAGAAAATCTTCAGAATCATTTTTATCACATTCATAAGACTTCAATATTAAAAAAATTAAAACAGACTACTTAAGATTTTTTTGCTATCACTAGCAGCAGAACATTAAACCAAGTTAGTGCTAAAACTTTTAAAATGGAAATTTATAAAATGGTAGAAAATAACAGCTTTTTTGAAAAAATTTGCGGATGAAGGATTTCAGTTGGTTACAGGCCAATTAGGTAAAACTCTTGGATTTAGTACTGGACATGGTTCTCTACCCAATTTGATTAATGAATTTGCTGAAAAAAAGAAAGCTGAAATTAAGGAAATACTGTTTCAGAAATTTATTCATGTGAAAATAGATGTAGTCACTTGACACCAAAAGTACTATTTGGGAATAAATATTTAACATAATTTTGCAGGAAAAAATAAAGTTAAAACTTTGGCACTGATAAATACAGAAGGATAGAACACAATGCAGCCAATATAATTAGAGCAATCCCACTTTTAAAGGAGAAAGTGCAGCAGCTCTTCCAGAGCTGCTGCACTTTAACCTTTATCCTCCCAGAATGGTGTCAACAATTATTTACTGACATAAGGCTGATGTGCTGTGTTATTCCCACTTTGTAGATAGCTATTTATGATGCTTTAAAAAAAACATACATTGCCCAACTTTTGGCAAAAGTCCATTATTATTATTAATATTTTTTCCAACTTTTTTGCTTCCAAAAAGGCTGCAAGCAACTACTATTAGAGTTGGGAGTTACTGGAAGAAAAAAGATGAAGTTTATAAAGCAAGATAATTATTGACAGAAGACTATAAGATTGCAAATTATATGCAAGATAAAGGAAGTGAATTCCAAAAAACTGAAGTTCAAGGAAAAAAATTAGACAAATAAAAGTTCTTGGAGCACTTAGAAACAGTCACAGAAAAAGGATGAGACTCAATTGAAGGACGAGTAACATGAGAGTGAATTTTAGTAGATGGTACAAGAGACGCTAGCTCTTTAAAGCAGTGTTTATTATAGTATTTTTAGAAAAGAGAAAGAAAAGCAACATTACAACAATGTGATAATAGTTGAAGGGTGGCTGCAAGAGTAGATCCAAATATGTTTACAATGCGTTTTTGTACCTTGACTAAAAGAGAAAAAGCATCATTAGAAGAAATTTCCCAGATATGGCAACAGTACTCCATACAAAGACGAATTTGAGATTTACAGAGATAAATAAGATCAATATTGGAAGTAAGAGTTAATCCTAGAAGATGCGAGATAACTTATCGAGTACATTACCCTTCATAAATATAAAAAGATCTAAATTATTGCGATAATAATTGGCTGAAAAAATTGGGTTTTATCTGAAATAAAGCCACTGTGAGCCCCATGCTGTAGCAGAAAAGAGATCTTTTTCAAGCTAAAATGCCCCCACCAAGCAATCAGAGAGTGTTGGCTTCTGATCAAGACAAGAATAAATGGTAGTATCATCAGCAAACAGTGTCACCTTAGATGTGAGAATATCTGGAAGATTGTTAATGTAAATTAAAAAGTGTATAGGCCCATAGGATCTTGAGGAACGCCTGAAGTTACAGGATATAAAGAAGAGTGCTGTCCATCAGGGACAACTTTTATACTATAATTGGAAAAGAAGGATTCAATAATTTTAAAGACGTTACCTAATACACCATAAGAAGAAAGCTTATGGAGAAGATCAACATTCCATAATTTATCAAAAGCTTTAGAAATGTCAAGTTCGATAGCCTTAACCTCTCCACCTCTAACTAAGACACAATAAAACCTATTGATTATTGCATTTCGGATGATTGAACGATTATTTCTTTTCCATTCACTGTGTGAGCAATTGCTGCAGTTGCTTAGATATTCTTTCTGATAGATGATAGCCCTGAAAGATGAGTTAAGTCATTATTGCAATCTTTTAAAAAAACCATGTGATGTGTAAAACTTCAAGAAATCGTATGATGTGTAAAACTTCAAGAAATTATATGTGTAAAACTTCAAGAAATCATATGATGTGTAAAACATCAAGAAATCATATGATGTGTAAAACTTCAAAAAATCGTATGATGTGTAAAACTTCAAGAAATCATATGTGTAAAACTTCAAGAAATCATATGATGTGTAAAACTTCAAGAAATCATATGATGTGACAGTAACTTTGAGAAATCGACATCACTCCAAGAGAGTTTCATTCTATTCCTTTAGAATGGTTGAAATTGAAATCTGATCTAGAGAAGAATCAAGGACTAATTGCAGAAGACATTTCGAAATCAATGCAAAAACGAGAAGAAAAACATTTTAGTAATGATATATTTCTAGCTGCAGTTTATGTTGATGCTAGATATTGAACACTGTTGGAAGAGAACCAGACGAGCAAAAAAAGAAAGAAGAAACCAGATAATACAAGCAAAGCAGAACTTAAAAACAGTAGCAGAAAAATTTATAAAAGAGATACGAAAAGTATAATAGAAAGTCAATAAATAAGAAATCTGCTAAGCCATCTACAGCCTTCTTTCATTTTTAAGTGAATAATACCAATGAAAAAGTGAATGAATTTGAAAAGAAGCTTGATAAAAAAGAAAAAAGGTAGTACCGTACTCAACTTGTTTCTTTATGCAGCGGCCTTGTTCGTTCAAGGTTCAAGTTTCAGAGTTATAGAGTTGAGAAAGGGTTGTAACCACAATAAGGTAGCTTTCTCAGCTGTAACAGCCTTCTTGGTCTTGGGAAGGTGAATTAACATAAAAAATAAAAAAATAAAAATATTGAGCGATCTCTGTGTTTTTCACTCAAACCTGGTATTTTAGATAATACCAGGTTAAATAATTTTATTGAGTAAATGTTATTTTTTTTAAATTAGAAAAAAAAAATTGTAGAAAAGCCTAAAAATTTTTTAGTCAGCACACAAAGCTAGAAAACAAAACTGTTAAAGCAAAGACTCTGACTTATTTGACATTATTTTTTTTTATTGCATTATTTTTTCAATTAAAAATGTCACAAATAAAATTTACAACAACAAAAAAAAAACTGCTACCAAATTAACCCTATTGCATGTTACACAGCATTAATTAACTTAAGTCAATATAATAATTTTAACAAAATTTATTTTTGAATGAAATTGCGAATGAAAATGTTACAAAAATAACAACTCACCATATAAACTGGGTCCGTCATTTGTAAATATATTGTATAGAATAATATTTAATGGAGTTATCACTTGTTTGCCATAAAAAAGTGTATCAATTGATACTAAAGGTATCTAAACAAATATTAAAAAATCTTTTTTTTTTCAGTTTTTGAAAATGTTTAATCTAATAACCTAGTTTAAAATAAAAACACAATAAAAAAAAATATAAAAAAACAACTTAAAATTAAAAACAAATTTAAAAAACAAAAACAAATTTTAGCTACTGACCATTATGCCAACAAAAATAAATGCTGACCATTTTAAAAACTGCCAAAATTGTCTCTGAAAAAATATTAGATCAAAGGCAATTGGAATACTAAAAAAAAAAAAAAACTTATTTAATTTTGGCAAATAAAAAACCTAAAAGATGATAAAAACTAAAACACATACCCCAGCAAAGCAACAAATGGCCAACCAACTAATGCCCCAAGTGCAATACCCAATATTGCTAACTATTTATAAAAAATAAAATCAAAAGTTAAAAGTAACAAAAAATAAAAACAAAGCAAAAAAAAAATTAAAAGTTTTTATTTACTAGAAAATTTCTTTTAAACCAACCACCATATGCAACTAGAACCATATACATTGCAAATGAACTTGGAAGGTAAGCTAAAATTATTAAAAAAAAAAAATTCCTTGACAATTATTATATTGCTTCTGAATTATACCATTATATATATATATATATATATATATATATATATATATATATATATATATATATATATATATATATATATATATATATATATATATATATATATAAGGGTGTTTTAAAAAAAGGTCATGTCTCCGAAAAAAAAGGTGCCCCAGCTTATCATCTGCCCAAACCATGATTTAGTACTAAAAAAATTGTTTTTTCAATTTTTGAAAATAATAAGTGTTCTTTCAGGGGGTAAAAAGGACAATTTTTAGGGCGTTTTGCATCATTTTTAAAACTGTAGGAAGTCTTGACATTAAAGTTTTTGATTTTTTTTTATATTTATGTTTGTTAAGATTTATTTAATCTTAAATAAAATGGGCTCTACTCTCAAAAAAATTTAAAAAACTCAAAAAAAATTATTTCAAAAAACCTTAAAATCCATAAATATTTAAGAAAGCTCATAAAAATACAAAATATTCTTAAAATTTTCTTGAAACTCATAAAAGTACATTTTTTTCTTTATATTTGATACAGTACAATATTGATTTCTCACTTATAATCATCTTCAGGAACTATTCTGGGAAATATATAAGAGAGAGGGTCTGGACAGAGAAAAAAGATACTAAAAAAAAAATTAATCAAATTATAAAAATTTTCAACTAAATAGTAAAGTTTCATATCAATTAAATTACAGCAATCCCAGTCAATTTATGAATGTTTTTATTTTTTCTTAAAGAAGTGATATTAACAAAAAAAATGTACATAAGAAACTAGACTTTATTTATGTTTGTACTAGAGGCTTTATTGTAATCCATTTTATTCTTCCTGTTTCTGTTTTTCTTGTAACTATTTGTAAATAGAATGGTATCCTGCTTTTTTCCCAAGAATATGCTCTATTTATTAGGTCTTGAACTAACTTAACTTCTCAGAACAGTCAAAACACTTAACTGTTGCTCTAAATTCTAGAGAAATATCGTTGAATTTCCAAAAATCTGGTGGAGTCTTCATCTATTGAGTTTTTGCCTTTCCATGCCTGAGCATGTCAAAAACTAGCCATGACTTTTCTGTTATTAATGGAGTCAAACTAGGAGGCTCATCTTTACTGAAGTTGAGGCTATTCAATATAGCTTGGTCCATTAGTTGGCGCTTTAAAGGAAAACTGTCACTTGGACAACTTTGTAAGTTATATAGTTTTTTGGCCATATCACCACGTTCCCTATTATCATTTATCTGCAAAGGCAAAAACTACTAAAGTGGGATCTAGATACCAAGTATGTCTGAGAATAGAGCTTGTAACAGCTTGAGAGCCAAGTAGGTTCCATTCCTCAAACCTTTTCATTTGCCAGTAAGCTTTCATATTCTAATAAATAAAATCCATTAACATTTTGAATTACTTTAATCAATAATGAGCTTTCTAACTTATTAAAAAAATACTAAAAGTGTTCACTACCTGTGTTAGTGCCAAATAACTTGACTCTGCTTTTAGAAACCACTCTATATTGATAGCACAAATGAATAAAGCCATACCAGTTATTTCTTCTTTATGTTTGTCAGTCAGGTTTTGGATTTCATTCATTAAAAGATACAATTTTAAGTAGTATAAACCTTTTCCGATAAATCTTGAATGGTGAACTGGTGCTGGTAAATAAAATTTAAACTTATTTGATGATAAAACCATTAAAGTAAGTTCAGCTAGCTCATGGTATTCTTTTCTTATATTTCTGTCCTAAAAGGTTTTGGATATATTATAATCTTGTAATAAATGTTACTTTTTAAAAATAAGATTTAATAGAAAATGAATAAAAATAAATTAAAAATA